TTAATTATTGACATTTTTAAAGATATAAGCTCACCCCGATGTTACACTCATTGAGACCTTTTATTTGAGTACCCACATCAATTTTTCATATATTTATATATATTTATATATATATGAATATATAAAAAATATATCAAAATGCATGTGGGTACTCAAATGAAAGCTCTTGATGAGTGTAACATCGTGATGAGCTTATATCTTTAAAAACGTCAATAGTTAAAAAAGTACAGTGCAATTTAACAAAATTCATTATTCAATAAAGAAAAATTTTATTTATAGTTCACAAGTCACATAGTAACTGCAAAGTTGCCAGTGAACTTTATCAAATCTAACGATATAACTTTTATCCTCAAACACATAACTTGAGATTAGAATGATGAAAATAATTTTTTTTCATCCCTCTCAATTATATTAATTTTCTATTCTCTAGTCGTCTCTATTTTCTCAGCAGAGTTATCACTAAATTCCGAGTATGACGAAAATTAATCACTCACAAAACTCTCCCTTGGCTATACTACTTTCCTTAATTGCGAGCTCCTCCTTTAACTGCTCTATTTGGTGAACCATGAGCTTCAATTTGTCTCTCAGCTCGTCGATTTCCTCTTTTTTAACAGTCAAATTTTTATTACACATATTTTTTTCGGCTCGGGTGCTCTCAAATAAATTTTGCTGATGTCGAAATTTTTTCTTAATTTCCCCTAGTTCCTTTGAATAATTCACCACCTCGGTCTCTTTTTCCTTCACCAGATTCGCTAATTCATCAAGCTGATTTTCAAAAACAAATAAACAGGCAATTAATTACCCGGATAAAAAAGCGCGAGTATTTTACAACATGATATAATGTAAAAAAAAAAAAAAAGAAAAAAGTATTAAGAAAAATCTAAATCACCTGGTGCTGTACTTGAGCAACTTGTTGACAATACTTGTCCCTATCTTTTTCAAGAGCCTCAATTTTTTTATTCAAAGAACAATTAACATGTAGTGCCTCTTGGAGCTCGCCCTCAAGCTTTCGTTTACTCGATTCCAATACACTAATCTCAGCGTGAGCTTTTTCGAGTGTATCTTTTAGATTTTCAAGATTTTTAATCACAACGTTCTTTTCCCGTACGGCCAAGTCAACAGACTTTTTTTCCTCAGTTATTTGACGCTGGCATGAACTCAAATGGATCTCGGAGTTTTTCAAAGCAACTTTTACGTGCTCGAGATCCTTTTCCATTTTAGCGCGTTCCTTATCGATCTTGGTGTATTTGCTGACGCTCCAATCATTCTCGGCTTTACTCTTGGACACTTCTTCCTGCAATCTATTTACACACACATTTTATATTATTATCATTATCATTAAACTTTATAGATTGTATTACAGGTGATAATTTTTCTCCCTTGAATCGAGTAAATAATTTCAAAGAATTTCATCTTGATTTGAGTAGAAAAATTCTTAAACTAAGAAATTTTTCTTGACTTAAGTAAATTTTAATTAATTAAAGAATTTTTCATCTTAATTCAAGACAATTAAACTCTTTTAATTTAATGTTTTACATTTTTAAATAATAAATTTTGTTAAATTGCACTGTACTTTGTTAATTATTGAAGTTATTAAAGATATAAGCTAATCCCGATGTTACACTCATCAAGAGCTTTCATTTGAGTACCCACATACATTTTTTATATATTTTTCATATATACATATTTATAATATATATAAATATATAAAATATATGAAAAATTGATGTGGGTACTCAAATGAAAGGTTTTGATGAGTGTAACATCGGGATGAGCTTATTATATCTTTAAAAATATCATTAGCTGACAAGATAGCAAAGTCAGTTCCTAATTATTTACATTTTTGAAGATATAAGCTCATCTCGAGGTTATGCTCATCAAGAGCTTTTATTTGAGTACCCACATGCATTTTTGATATATTTTTCATATATTTATATTTATAATATATATAAATATATAAAATATATGAAAAATTGATGTGGGTACTCAAATGAAAGGTCTTGATGAGTGTAACTTCAAGATGGGCTTACATTTTTAAGAATGTCAATAGTTCACAAGATACAAGGTAATTTCTTAATTATGTATCTATAGATTGATCATTTTCGAATGCAGCCCAAATAATTATCATCATAAATTAACTATTGGTGAGAATGACATAAAACCATGAAGAAGCACAAATTCAAGTCAAGACCTAACGATACTAAATTTAACTATAAAAACCCATTTTATCATATAAATACACTCGCCACAATATTTTGCTTAATCTCTTTTTAATATAGATTATAATTAATCACAAGTATCTTTATTGCTCTCTTAATTATATTTTAAATTTTATGTTATCGTATCCACTATTGCAATAATTATTCGGCAAGTGCCTTGGAATTTAATTAAATAAATAATAATAATAATTTTTTCAGTGTGTGAAATAAAGAATTAATCGGAAATTGCACTTTACCGTCGAACAAAATAAACCACCTAAAACAAAAGCTAATTTACAATAATAGTTTAGCGACCATACCTTTTAATTTCCTGAACTGAAAGTTTGTATTCATTTGTCTTCTCAACCAATACTCTTTCAATTTCTTTGACCCGCTTATTCGAATTATTCAATTCCGTTTGCAGGTTTATTCTCCCAGTCATCAATTTGCTCACTTCCTTGCGCAATTTTTCGTTAGCCACTCGTTGCTCCCTCAGGAGATTTTCAATGCGACTGGCATTGCTGGCCGAGTTTTTTACCAGAGTGTTTGCAGCCTGAAAGTATCTATCTTCATATACTCGAACTAGCCAATAGTATAAAAAAAAAAATAAATTCATGTAAATCAATCAATTATCTGCACTTAAAAAAAAACTCGAATTACCCCAAATAAAAAATGACATTAAATACAAAAAATAATCTTTTAAAAAATTCAAATAGAATCTCATGAAATTCAAAATATGACCTCGAAAATAAAATCCCTTTTAACTTACATCATACTGACGAAACTCGTTAAAATAATATTTGTAAAGTCAAAGGCAATATTTGTTACATTTTAATAAGCACTCTGGAAGCTACTACCGAGCTTCAATTAGCTTTAATACATTTTATTAAAATTAAAAGAATTATTTTGTGAGAAAGTGCTAAATCAATGGTTAAAATTCAAAATAATCTGAATAGTACTACCTGCAATAGGTTGGCTTTTATCTTGAGCTCTTCCTCAAGTTCTATTATTTCTCTCTCAAGTCTTTCGCGCACCAACCGTTCTTTCAATATTTCATTCATCTGAACTTCCATGTTTTCCTGCATCTTGCTTATTTGATTGTCTACCTCACTCATCTTTTTCTCGAGTTCTTCAGTGTACATAGACTTGCTTTTTATACTTTGTTTCAAAGTTTCTATTTCGTTTGTCAGTCGTTCTTTTTCAATAGCCGAGTTTTCATTTTGTTTTGCAACTTCACCGCTGTAATAATAATAATAGTAAAAATAATAATTTCATTTACTTTTCATTTGCTTATTCTTATTACTTTGCAAATCTAAACAAAATAAAAAAGGTATCTTATCTTCTTAATAAATAAATAAATAAATTAATTAAATATTTTTATTAAAAAAAAAATTAAATAAATTTTGAAAGTGATATTAACTATTGAATGATGAAACCTATTGTAAATTTACAGAATAAATTGATAAGTAAAATGAAAATAGAAAATGATATGTTAGTACCTTTAAAAATCAACTATTATTTTGTATGAATACGCTAACTTATTTTACTGATTGTAAATTAATGCACTGAGAGGTTTATAAATACACGAAATAAACATATAATTTTACCAAAAATTGATAAAACTTTAAGTACCAAAAATGCATTTTTTGTGGCAAAATATTTCAATCTACTTTTCAATAATCTAAAAGCTCTTGATTTTAAAAAGAGGTTATTAAGTTATAATTTTAGGAAGTGGATTAGATCTATTGAGCTATAAATTAAGATATTGTATTGCATTGTATAATTATTGTATAATTAGTCCTAGGAAAACTTTACATTTTGTACATTGCTTTAGCTAATCTTTGTTTAACTTGATGTATATACACGGAAAAAAGTAAACTGTAAAATTTACTTAGATTCCGATTAATTTTTATAGTTTCAAACAGTACAGCGGACATCGCGGGCTAGCAAAAATGTAAATATTACAAAACTTAATGTTGAAAGTGTAAAAGCCACAATTTATAATTTATTATCGAAAATGTGATTAGTAGCTGTCACTGTAGTAAATAACGACTCTCTCATCTTAAAAAATTACAGTTTCAAACAGTAAAAATTACCGTTTCAATATATAGTCTTTACTATGAGGAGAAGGGGAAGGTTTCACACTCGGAGAATTTAACATTTGAAACAGTAAAAATTCTACTCTTAAAATATATATTTCACCAGTTCAAGCAAATCAATAATTATAGTTTGATTTTTAGCGTTGCGTTTAAAATTTACCATTTTACTTGATAAATATTGACGTTGCTTCTATCGAAATTTAGTAACAGTAGTTTATATTTTTAGGTAGATTTCGTAGAAATCTATCTATTGCATTGGACCTTGTGTCGGAATTCACACGGAATTTTGTCATTTTATCTCTTATGTAGTCGAGTAAAGCTCAAAATTAGCATTGGTTCAAAAGTTTATATATTTATGTACATATATATATATATATACATATGTAATATAACGCGGCTTGTGGACACGATAGCGTCTACAATTCTCAACGGATTTAGATGAAACTCGGTACACATATTCTTTGGGTAATTACCTTGAACGAGTTCGAAGATGAGCAAAATCGATCAATTAGTTTAGAAATGGCAGCCATTTAAAATTTTCAAAATAGTGAAAATCACGTTTTTGGCCACTTCATTGATGTATAACTTTTGATTGAACAGAGATAGCTAATTTTTGAAAAATTCATGTAATAGCTCATGAAATTACCTTTAATTTGACGTATATAACATCAACATTTTGACCATTTTTAGTTATTTTATCAAAGTTAAGAGTGCAACTGAACCATTTTCAGGCAATGAGTAGTACAACCGACTTATGTACGTCATTCTATCAAGAATTTCATTCAGTGAAATCTACCTTCCATTTCGGGTGTGGCCGAATAGCGTTTTTTTACATATCATGCGATCATTTTTTAGCTACGAAATTATAAATACCAGTCAAAATTCTTAATTATTATACTTTAACATTTTGGACTTTCATAGCGAATATTACTGTTTGAAATAGTATTTTCTTCCATGTAAATAATAAATTGTAGCATTTAAATGATAAATATTATAAAGTGATTATTAAAAATCACGATTTTACTGTTTGAAATGTTAATTTTTTCCAGTTGATCATTACTAATTATAAATCAACTATTATTTATTTCAGTTTACTTTCTTCACAGGTGTCATGCACCTCTATAAAATGTTTATCAGAAGTAAATAAAATAAAAATGACTAACTCATCGTCAATATCAAACTTTTTATTCTTCTGTTCAATTTCCCGATTTAATTTATTGATTGCAATCCGTAAATTTTCGATAGTCTCTTGAGCGTTTTGTTCTCGGGTATGTGCCGTATCAGCGAGCTTTGAAACTTGAAGTATTTTCTCATTTAATTTAGCTATCGTCGATTCGTTCTCCTCTACTGTTTTCTCAAGTTCATCGATTTTGTTTGTTTTATTCACCAAATCTTCCTATTCAACAGAACAGATCAATTATTTTATCCTTTTAAATTTATCCTTCAGTATAAAAGCTTTCATTCATCTCTCAACATCCAGCCACTCGAGCTGTCATCATTAAAATATCATTTTAACACTCGATTTTAAATAAATACTTATATTATGGTAATTTACCTGAAGTTGTCGAAAATTATCCAGTAATTCCTCTTCATCCCGACGGCATTTGTAGAGAGTTTCAAAAAGCCGTGTGTACTCTGTTTCATAGGCTGCTAGCGTTTCATTGTTCTTCATTTCGTTCACCAGCTTAATGTATATGTGTGGAACAGAACGAAAAGAGGAAATTATTCAAGGGAATAGTATTGATCGAACACCTATTAAATTGGATATAGACTTGAGAAAAAGGTAAGCTATTAAAAATAAAAATAAAAATATTAAAAAAAAAAAAAAAAAAAAATAGAAGAAAAAAAGAAATGACTAAACGGAGCTTTATAAGTCGAGAAGTAGAGCAAACATTTTTCTTGCCCCTCACGTATTATACATTACTTAAGATTTCACAAACTCCTATCCCAGCGATATCTATATTAATGAACGGTCATTTATCATCGGCGTAATTATAATATTTAATACATTAATTCCTTTTCGTGTCGTTTGTGTTTATCATTTATTCTGGGTGAAATATTTGTCATGATTATTCTTACTCGAGCGTAGTCGCGTTCTAAAGTACAATAAATGCTTCCCGCAGAACTTCCTGCAGCCGATGGTTCACCACTTTCGCTTCCGTCTTCCTGTAAATAAATATTTATGCTAATATATTTACCTTTATATTTATTTGAATATATAATTTTGGTAATCAGGAGAAAATTTTAGTTGTAGTCAATATTCATTTGAATATTTTTTAGCTTACTAATCATAGATTTTTTTTTAAGATACTTTTATTTAGACATTTTTTTTAAAATGTCAGAGTTAAAAATAAATGTTTTATTTTTATTGAAAAAAATATTAATATTAATTTAGCAGATTAAAAGAAATAGCAGCCTTGCAGTCACTATGTGAACTCTAGATAAATAAAAATTTGCTTTATTAAATAATGAATTTTGTTAAATTGCACTGTACTTTCTTAAATATTAACGTTTTTAAAGATATAAGCTCATTCCGATATTACACGCATCAAGAGCTTTCATTTGAGTACCCACATGCCCGTTTGATATATTTTTCATATATACATATATATATATAATATATATAAATATATAAAATATATGAAAAATTGATGTGGGTACTTAAATGAAAGGTCTTGATAAATGTAACAACGAGATGAACTTATATCTTCAAAAATATCATTGTTTGGCAAGATAGCAAAGTCAGTTTCTAATTATTGACATTTTTTAAGATATAAGCTCATCCTGATGTTACACACATCAAGAGCTTTCATTTGAGTACCCACATGCCCTTTTGATATATTTTTCATATATACATATATATAATATATATAAATATATAAAATATATGAAAAATTGATGTGGGTACTCAAATGAAAGGTCTTGATAAATGTAACATCGAGATGAACTTATATCTTCAAAAATATCATTGTTTGGCAAGATAGCAAAGTCAGTTTCTAATTATTGACATTTTTTAAGATATATAAGCTCATCCTGATGTTACACACATCACGAGCTTTCATTTGAGTACCCACATGTATTTTTATATATTTTTCATATATAATATATATAAATATATAAAATATATGAAAAATTGATGTGGGTACTCAAATGAAAGGTCTCGATAAGTATAATGTCGGAATGAGCTTATATCTTTAAAAATGTCAATAGTTCACAAGATACAAGGTCATTTCTTAATTATGTATCTAGAGATAGAGGATTTTTAAATGCAGCCTAAATACTTATCATAATAAATTTATTGCTTTTTTATGACATTAAAGTTACCAATTACTTTTTAATTTTATTTGTAAAAAATTGCATATTTAATTTTTATAAAATTTCTGCGTTAATTTTTTCATTAAAATTTGTTAGAAAAATTATAAAATATTTGCTAAATTAATTTTAAAATCAAATTTTATTGCAGATAATTGAAGGATATTAACTGTCAGTCCAGCAGAAACAGAAGGCATCAGGCAAGCCGGCTAGTTTAGTTATAAACTAAAGTTATAAAGGCCCGTAACTTGCTTTATAGCAAAACTATTCACTCGGAATTTAATCTTTCATCCAAATCCATCAGGGGAGGCTAATGGAGAATGGACCAATGAAAAAGACTTGGGAATACCCAAAACATAAAAGGTTATTAACTTTAGGAAGCCGAACATTACCGTCATGACATTATTCAATTATCCAAAGCCCAAGGATCTAATAAAAAATCATTCGGTAAAATAATTTATACTGCAGCGAGTTAATTATAAAAATTCATATCAAGGGTAACATTTATTATTTTTTTATTAAACCAATGAATAATTAAAAGTAAACTTACTCTCTCCATTTCAGCGTTCATTTCCATCTCCATTGTTGCAGCGATGAATGATCGATTCCGCTCGGTAAGTTTTTCACAATATAAATTTTATCGTTAACAAAAATGCTAATTAATAAAAATAATAACAGTAAAATTCCGATAAAAAAAGACCAATTAATTATTCAGATGATAATTCACCGAGTTTATTATTTTTGTAAACTGGTAGCTAGTTAAACTTTGTTTCATGTATCCATGGTAATGGAAATAATATTATTATATATTATATACATGTATATAGTTTGAACTTCGGGTAATTCATTCTGAACCCTAGATCATAGTAATAACAATTGGCATTTAATTACTCAATAAAAACTAACGGTGCTCAAAATTTATAAGTTAAATGAATGAAAATTAATTTAGCAGATATTTAATATTTTTAAGAATTTTTTTAACAAATAAATTATAGCAAAAAAAATTGATCCGTAGGAATTTTAATAAATTAAAAATGCAATTTTTTTTTTTAATTTTTTGGAAAAAAATTTTTTTGTTAAAAAAAAATTAAAAAATGGTCAAGACTGCTATCTTTAATGTGATGTTAAATAAAACAAACTATTTCTTCTTAAATCATCAATTAGATATTTAATAGTTTTAAAAATTTTTTTAACAGATAAATTATGGCAAAAAAAATTAGGAAAAAAAATTGACATGTAGAAATTTTAATAAATTAAAAATGCAATTTTTTTTTTTTAATTTTTTGGAAAAAATTTTTTTGTTAAAAAAAAATTAAAAAATGGTCAAGACTGCTATCTTTAATGTGATGTTAAATAAAACAAACTATTTCTTCTTAAATCATCAATTAGATATTTAATAGTTTTAAAAATTTTTTTAACAGATAAATTATGGCAAAAAAAATTAGGAAAAAAAATTGACATGTAGAAATTTTAATAAATTAAAAATGCAATTTTTTTTTTTTAATTTTTTGGAAAAAATTTTTTTGTTAAAAAAAAATTAAAAAATGGTCAAGACTGCTATCTTTAATGTGATGTTAAATAAAACAAACTATTTCTTCTTAAATCATCAATTAGATATTTAATAGTTTTAAAAATTTTTTTAACAGATAAATTATGGCAAAAAAAATTAGGAAAAAAAATTGACATGTAGAAATTTTAATAAATTAAAAATGCAATTTTTTTTTTTTAATTTTTTGGAAAAAATTTTTTTGTTAAAAAAAAATTAAAAAATTTATATTAAGAGTAAATGTTTTTATTTCTCATGTCTGATAGCGTTAAAAAAATGAATAATCATAAAATAAAGAGTTATTGTCTTTAAATATTTGACACTAAATATTTGAGTGTCATTAACAATAATAATAATAATAATAATAATAAATCTTTGTACATCTGTGCAACATAAAATATTCAACAATGAAACAGTAAATTATGATAGTGAGGATGTGTATGGTAGATAAAATCATAATTAAGACTGTGAAGTCTACGAAAAAGTACACAGCACTGGTGTCATGTTTCGTAACATGTAGAATGTAAGTAGCGTATGAAAAGTGACGCATGAAAGAGCTATTCAGCTAGTAGAGGCGACATGAGAAACAGTAAATGGCGTGACTTGATAGAGAAAACACCTGTTGCAGACTCTGACTGGTTTAGTATGTCCGTAACGAGGTAATGGGACATTGTTGCTGCTGCAACGCCCACAAAATACTTTGCCGCAGTTTCTGCAATGGTGTCTCCGTCTTACGACAGTGAATCCCGCTTGACAGGCCATGCATCGCGGAGCATCGTTGTCTGGAATCCATGCGGGCGCTCTTTCCACACACTCCTCCCCGCGTTCTGTCGTTATAGGACACACTGAAATTTATCAAACATTTTTATTAGTCTCAAATAAAAATATCAATTAAAATTTTTATAATAAATTAATTATAAAAAAAAATTTTTATTAATTTGACATGTGGAATTTTTTTATTAAAAATTTTTTTAAGTAAAAATACTATCAAACAAAATTATTTAATTACTTGAATATTTATTCATTAATTAAATATCTGCTCTTTCGCTGACAATTGTCAATTTTTTTTAATTTTTATAACACCCAATTACAAAAAAAAAATTTTTTTTTTAATTTTTATAACAAATTAATTCCAATAAAAAAATTTTTTTTGACTTGGAAATTTTTTAAATTAAATTTTTCAAGTAAAAAATAATTTAATTACTTAAATATTTATTCGTTAATTAAATATCTGCTCTATCAGACAGTTGGCTTCACACTGCTGTTAAATAAGTTTAAAGTCTTACTTTAAGTTTGAGTCAAATCAATTGTTTATTCTTTAGCGTCTCCAAATGTGTATTTAAATTATTTTTTTTTCTCTTTAAAATTATGAATAAATTATTTCAAGTACTTAATCAATCAACCTTGACCGTTAATCAGAAAAATTTATTTACTTTAACAACGTGACTATTGAAGTATTATTTTTAAACTTTATTCTTATCTATAAAATGACTTCTTGCTGATTAATAAAAATATTTACTGTCCATACAATAAATTGTAATATATTATTATATTGAATTTAAGAGACATTTAAAAACTTTTTAATTTTTATAGTAATTATAAATTATAACAAAAAAAATTTTTATTTAAATTCCACATGTAGAAACTTTAAAAAAATAAGGGCAAATTTTTAAGAAAATTTTTTTTTTTTTTTATAATAATAAATTGTGATAATTTTTTTAATTAATTAAATTGAAATTAAAGAAAAATTTCACTTGTACTTTTTTAAATGAAATTTTGTTTACAAATTTTTTTCAATTAAAAATTTCTCTTTAAAATTTTTCCTTTTCTCAAAATGCAAGTACATTAAAATATTATTGTTAGCTGTTCTTTTATATCTACACATAAAAAAAAAAATTTTTTTTGAACCGAATAAGTTCACTTGAATTAAACAAAAGATACTTCGATCATTTCTTGAGACAAGAAAATATTATCTTGAAAATTATCAAGAATATAATATTTTTGTGACAAGAAATTTTTCTCAAGAGTAGTACTTTTTTTTCTGAGTAATATAATCTTGTAAAAGGACATAAAATTTATTTTTTAGTGACCCTGTTACTGTTGGGTCTTTGCATAAAAAAATAAAAAAATTTTTTAAATGTCTGATAATTTAAATTTAATTAAAAAAAAAAAAAAAAAAAATAAAAATACTAACTCGTATCATTATCATTACCAATGCTGGTAATGGAATCCTCCTCCTGATCATCATCATCATCGTCTTCCTGATTCAAGTCTTGTCTCTCAAGACTATTACTACTACTTAAAATCTCCGTGGAATGTAAAGTATCATCAGCCGGCGACTGAACATCCCCAGTCCCGCCAATATTATTATTATTATTATTCTTCGCATCAACATTTTCCTGATCAGTCTCCCCAGGTACACTAGTGCTATTCATAAGGAAGACACACTTCAGAATATTCCTCAAATCAGAAGCGAAGTTAGTCTGCAGTTGATCAGCGACCCCCGCGATGCAAACAAACAACCTATGAACCAAATCTTCAGAAGACCTAAACTTAGCTCTAATCTGATTTCTATTCGCAATTTCCGCGGCCTGCATCGCCAGGGCTATCTCTTCGTCATCCTGACAGTCACTTTGAAACTCACTAGTCTCAGAGCTCGAATCATAGCTAGAACTCGAGTCGACATCCTGATTAGATCTCTGAACCAGGGAGATATTTATCTTAGGATTTTGAACCCCCCTATTTTTCGGAGACTTGTCCCTCAATTCACTCTGACTGCCACTAACATTAGCATCATCAGTCGCATCATCATCAATTGCATCTATAGCAGGACTAATAATCCCAGTCTTATCCGTCCTGCGACCAAGTCCATCATTAGGCATCTCTTCCTTATTTTTCTCACTAAAATTTTTCCTCATCTTAGTAATCTGCTCAGCTCTGGACCTCCTGTGGTCCAGCAGCTTGCGATTGGGCGGCGACAACCCTCTAGAATTATTTCTCTGCCCTAAATTATGATTCTTCTGCGACATATCATTGCGCGAGGACTCAAACTGGCAATTCAAACGCGAGCTGCTCCTCTGAGGACTATGATGATGATGATGATGATTGCTAAAATTAGGCATCTGCCTCATATTATTCTGCGTGGGATGCAGCGAGCCTCCATAGCTAGTCAGCCTTGGATTAACACACCGATCCACAGAATTAGACCTCGAGCTCTCTGTACTCAGTGACAAATTATAAGCCAATTTTTCCTGGACACTACTGTGATTTTTTTTAACTATTTTACGCTCAAATCTTCGCTGACGCTTTTTTAATTTAAATTCTTTGGCCTTACGTACTGACATTTTGTGCTGGGCGTATCGCTCGATATTACTTCCTATTTTATTATTTATATCCTGGTGTGACGTAGACGGACAATTTTTGCATTTAATATCCTGCCAGAATTCTTTGGTCGTAGCTGCTGTTGATGGGTTTATATTTAGATTTAAATTCTCCCAATTGTCGGAATAATTTATTTGTATTGAAGTGTTAGAGTCACAGACAGACACCTGTCCGTTTCCATAAGCCAGACCCACAAATTCTTCATTGGTTCCGTTAAAATTTGATGATATTTTATCGGATATTTTGGACGTTTCATTATTACAATTACAATTACTATTACTACTATTGGAGACACAATTATTATCGAACGTATTACATCTTAAGGGACAAACACAAGACTCCGAAGTCGAGGTTAAATTTTTATCATCTTCTATTTCATTGGCAAAAGTTTTTTTCTCTTCCGGGCTCTTATCATACAAACTGGTATTTTCTGAAGAAATAACTGTGCAAATACCCGAGTCAGTTTGTTCTGATATTTCATTACCGCAATCTTCTAATAATAAATTAGAAAGAGTTTTATTAGCTTCTGAAATAAGTTTCTTATTATTATTATCAACAAGTGAATTATCATCTGTAATATTATTATTATCGTGTGTAATAAGATAATTTTGTGGCAAGTCAACATTAACATTTGTACTGAGACTCTGATTTTGACTCGACATATTATCATTATTATTGTTATAAAAATTATCTGGGGTATTATCATAATTTTTATTTCCTATTTGGTCATCTTGGTATTGTAATGATTCATTACTTGCAGTGTAATGAGACTCGGTTGAATTAAAATCAAGACCAGACTGTTCGGTACTATTACTATTAGCTGGATTAGTAGTAGAAATTAATTGCGCTGTAAGTTTACGACTATTGTGGTTGTGATTGTGATTGTGATGGAATCTATCGGCTCTTTGATCCTCGTTTATCGGGACTACTGAGGGAGTTTCTCGTCGATTTACTGAATTAATTAACAGGTGATCTTGACGACGACGGCTATCGGAATCGGCATTAGTATTGGTGTTAGTGTTGGTATTGGTATTACTGTTACTGTTACTGTTACTGTTACTGTTACTGTTACCATTATCATCATCATCAATTACCACTCGCAAACTTGATTCTCCTCCATTTAACAATGACGAATAGGCGTGTGGATACGCGGCCACTGTTGTGGTGATAATGGTACGGTGATTATCCTCATCCTCGCTGTTACCTGATACAGATACAGCTTGCTGTAATTTTCTTTCACCTTTAACATTAACTCCCACATTGCTCTCCTGGGTCATTATTTCGACCACGTCATTAGCCACTTCGTCCATGTTCGTGCCATTGTTTTTGGTTACGGTGTAAAAATCTACAATGAAGTTTTTGCAGTTCGGGTAGTCGGAGTAAAAATTGTGGACGAAGTTTTCTAGCTCGTGCTGACAGGCGTTTCGTGTTGAGGGGGATATTGGGACAGATGGTTCTTCGTTTGAGCACAGGAGCTTTTCGAGCATGTACAGCTCGCGGTTGTTCAGAGTCCAGAGGAGTTCGCGGATTTTTAACAAAAGATTCTGGAAAAATAAAAAATTCTTTTAATATATTATTAAGAGAATAAGAAATTTTTAGATAATTGAGAAATGACCTTGTATTTTGTGAAATATTGACATTTTTAAAGATATAAGCTCATCTCGACACTACACTCATCGAGACCTTTCATTTGAGTACCCACATCAATTTTTCATATATTTTATATATTTATATATATGAATATATGAAAAATATATCAAAAATGCATGTGGGTACTCAAATAAAAGCTCTTGATGAGTATAACATCGTGATGAGCTTATATCTTTAATAATGTCAATAATTAAGAACTGATTTTGCTATCTTGTCAACTAATGATATTTTTGAAGATATAAACTCATCCCGATGTTATACTCATCAAGACTTTTCATTTGAGTACCCACATTAATATTTTATATATTTATATATATATGTATATATGAAAAATATATCAAAAATGCATGTGGGTACTTAAAAGAAAGCTCTTGATGAGTGTAACATCAGGATGAACTTATGTCTTAAAAAATGTCGATAATGAAGAATTGACGGCTATCTTGTCAACTAATGATATTTTTAAAGATATAAGCTCATCCTAATATTACACTAATCGAGACCTTTCGTTTGAGTACCCATATCAATTTTTCATATATTTTATATATTTATATATATTATAAATATGTATATATGATAAATATATAAAAAATGCATGTGGGTACTCAAATGAAAGCTTATATCTTTAAAAACATCAATATTTACGAAAGTACATAGTGACTGCATAATTTTTAATTTCTATTAATTAATTAAGTGGATAAATTCAAAGGTTCATTCACTTTACATTATTGTTATTGGAAAAAATATTTGCAGTGCAAAATTCACCTTCACTTGTAAAAAGATTACTTTGAGTAAAAAAAAAATTTTCTTGATAACCAAGAATTTTATGTTAACTCGAAAAAATTATTGTTTTCCTTATTATAAATTTTTTTTCTTTTAAATCAAACAAATCTTTCTTATCTGTATAAAAATAAAATCCAATAAAATTATTCAAATAAAATTTAGTACAAAATATAAAATATATTTCAGTGAACATAAAAAAAAATTGAACCTTAAAAAAAAAAAAATAAAATAGATAATTGAGTCCTTACTCTAAATGGCCTAAACATTTCGCTGATTGTATCAGCAGAATTGAGGCACAGAGGACCACCAGGAGGAGCCAAGAGCCCAGAAACAATAGCAAGCCTCGGAATGGTAAACATTAGAGCAGGGTCATAGTTGTCGACATCAGCTTGATTTAGCAACCCGCGCTCTAGAGCTCTCTGTAGTGTTTCCGAGAACAAAACACAGACTAATTCCTGCTGCTCGTACTCCTTTGTCGACTTAACTGGCACCATTGCCGCAACGTAGCAGAGCTCGAAATCGGCAAACAATCTGTCGAATATTTTCAGCGACTCGATCAATTTTTCCGTCTCCATGGGATTGTGCACCTGGAACAGCTCCTGTTGAGTGAGCAAACAATTATTATCATTGTTTAAACAAAGAGATAAGAGGACATACGCATACACGGAAGATCATTAGCACAAATGAATAGTAAATACCTTTAAATTCATGTGACCTTTGAGCGCGTGCTCTCGCAAAAGATTCCGCACTATTTCGAGAGATTTAGTGAGTGCTTTGGCTAAAGGTCTCATCGCTGAACTTTCAACCTCGCGGTTCATTATTGATGAGCCCGCGGCCAGACACTCGGCGCCGAACCAGAGCTGACCCGCCAAATTCTCCTGCATCACGTCGTCCGGGAATTTAACGCGAAAATCCCGGTTCGCTCGGCTGTCCGGTATCAGCTCGTCCATTATTTGATTGCAGATCGTTAAAACTTTGTCCTGACAATGCCGTAACTGGTTTACCAGGGTTGTGCAACGCTCTGGCTCCTGTCGACCGTCGAATGAGTCCAGCTCGCAAGCCACCGCTGTGAGGGCTTCATTAGCGTAGAAAAATTGAGCCAGTAAACTCGTATCGTCTCTCTATATTGACAAAAATAGAAAATAGTAATAAATATTTTTTTTAATAAAATTTGGTAAATATTTACAATTCGGGTCACTATTTTAATTTTCATTTTTTTGAACGAAATTTCTATTTGATTTTATATGAAAATTATTTTATTATATATTTAATAAATTTATAACAAATAAATTATGGCAAAAAAAATTGACGTAGAAATTAAAAAAAAAATACAATTTTTTTAAAATAATTTTTTGGGACAAATTTTTTTGTTAAATAAAATTTAAAAATTGTTAAGTGACTGCTACCTTTAATGTCATTGATTTTATTAATATATTTTTTTTCTGAAAAATACATAAAAAAATTAACAATTAAAAATAAAAAAGTTGATTATTACAATTTTAACAAATTTTCAAAAAAATTTATAAATTTTTTAGAAAATTGTGATATTCAACTTATTTTTTTTAATTGTTCGTTTTTTTTATGTACTTTTCAAAAAAAAATCTATCAAAAAAAGATAAAATAGAAATTTTATCCAAAAACATGAAAGCCAAAATTTTTTCCAACTTTTGAAGGCAAAAAAGCTATTAAAATCTTCATTTTTTTCTTTCTCGACAGTTTTTATCATAAATGCGTCGTAAATACAAACAGAATAAAAGAAAATTTGAAAATATTAATAGCCCAAAATGAGGTTGACCCCACTTGTAAATAATTACCGAAAATTATCATTAATTTTATTTTTTTTTTTTTTTTTAAATTCAGGCCGATTAATTCACCTCACCTTGGGTTTGAAATAAATATTTAAATAAGTTTTTTATTACATAATTTGAGAAAATATACTTGAAGAATTTTAAGTGCTAGAAAGTGATAAGTCTACCGTGAAAAATTCTTTGTTCGCTTTGTTTTGCTGATGATATTTTTTGTTAACGGTTTAATTTAATCTCGATAGGAATTACTGTGCTCAATGAGTCATTTATTAACCATACAAGTGTACCAGTTCTGTTAAATTACCTGTCTCTGTAATTAACACACAAATAACACTCTGACAACATTGACATTCACCCGAGCATTTAGTAAACCAATTTAAATAAAATTTCCATGTTTTTTTTCTCAATGCCTAAATAAATATAAATTTTTTTTTTTCGATAAGATTTATTTATAAAACATCGTCAATCTTATAGAGCCAGATTTATAATAAATAATAATAAAATAGCGACCGGCAGATTGAAGCGTGACATTTTGATCTATAAAAAAATAAAAACAAGCATTATTGAGCGCATTTGTTTTTAGTTGCACTTATATTATTGACCTCGATAAAAACGGATGAGCTTAATTGATAATATTGATTGTATATACTCTGCTGGAGTGTGAGAATTCTTAAATCACCACATGGTTGTTAATACTTCATGCATCATGCATCATCCATACATAATACACTTCAATAAAAATAAAACAAACGCATTTTTCTCTATTATTATCCTTATAAATAACTTACTAATTTTTTTTCTCACTCATTGTTATTTTTATTACAAAATATAAAATGTTAAACATCAATTAATGTAAACTATTTTATGATACTGAAGTTAGCTGTAAATTTTTTTTTAATTTTATAGCAAATCAATTACAATAAAAAAAAAAATGCTTCCAATAATTTTTTTTACACAGAAAAAAAGGTTCACTTGAGCCAAGAAAATATTTTTCTTCTTAATTATTTTTTTGGGCGAAAAAAAAATTTTTTTTTGACAAGAAATTTCACTTATTCCAACAAAATAAATTCTCTTGCTTTAATAAATACATATCTTGATCCAAGAAAATTTATTTAAGTAAAGAAAATCTTGTTTTGAGAAAATTCAGCCTCTTGCTCCAAAAAATTTAATTTTTGATAGAAGTTAATTTTCTTGTCTTGAGAAAATTTTTCTCTTGCTCCAAAAAATTAAATATAAAGATAGAAGTAAATTTGAATTAATATTTTTATTGATTAACATGTCAAATGGGAAGATCAAAAATAATATTTCATCATTTTTATTTTCATTAATATTTTTATTGATTAACATGTCAAATGGGAAGATCAAATAATATTTCATCATTTTTTTTCACTCAATATGTATAATTGCACGCTAAAATAATATAAAATGGGTATCAAATAGTCAAGAGAAAAATTTTCTCAAGGTGAAAAAATTTTTTTCTCAGCTGAAGTAAGTGGCGCTGCTTCCCTAAAGTATCTAAAAATCTTGATCAAATATACAAATTTATTGTATCAAGTATTTATGATAATTTGAATTAAGAAAAAATGACTTCCACCAAGAATAGAATTTAAAGAAAAATTTTTACTTCGGCCAACACAACTTCTTCCTTCAGGCACCCGAAAATTTTCTTGATCCAGGAATTTTGTTCTCCAGTCAAGAAATTTTTTCTGTGTAATTTTCACTTATGGAATTTTTTAATAATTTCATTACTATAAAATTATAAAAAAAAAAATATATAATACCTATCAACTTAGGGTTTAATTAATCAAACTAGTCAATTTAATAAAATAAATTAAGTAGCCGACATTTAAAAATTTGTAGAAATTTCTTTTTATTAAAAAAATTATTACAAAATAAAAAAATAAATTATCATTCGTAAAAAACTTGAAAAACTGAAAAAGTGCACTTTTTTAAAAATATTTTTTAGTTATAATTTAAATAATACTAAAGTTAGCTGACGGTTTTATTTTTTTTATTTTTTTTAATAATTAAATTAGAACAAAAAATGTTTTTTCAAAATTGCACTTATATGTTTTAAAGTTTTTTACAAATGAAATTTTTTAGTACTAATTTTTTCAATAAAAAAAAATTCTAAAAATTTTTAGATGGCTAACTTAATTATTAATTAATTTAATAATTAAAAAAAATTATAAACGTCGACTAACTTAAGTGTTATCTTAATTTTCATTATTTTTGCAAATGTTTAAAATGTGAAATTGTTATTTCTTTAGTTTCTCTTAAAATTATAAATCATATATTTTCTTTTTATTGTAATTTCATGGATGTATATTACCGATTTGCCTTTTCTAAATAAATAACTAACTAACTAACTAAATAAATAAACAAGTGTCATAAAATTTCCTAAATATTAATTCTTCTAACAATTAAATAAAAAAACAAAAATCCGATAACAAAATTGACACATCAATTAATCCACTTGACAATAAATATCACCTGATATATTAACAGAAAAGTACGTCATTAACAAAACTACGCTGTCTAAATTAATAAAATTTTTTCATGACAGTCATTGTCATTATCCATTCTCTCACACTAACACTCACTCATCCACATACACTAAAAAAAAAAGATATATATATATATATATAACACACATATGTACTTTCCTATCTTAGAATGTAATACCGAGTATAAAACAAAATTACACAGGTACACGATTAATTACAAGATAAAAAACTCGGACATTATTAAAAGACATATGGCTGTGATGACATTGTCAATTACTTTATTTATTTTTGCGGAAACGTGATATTTAAATAAATTTTTTATTTTATTCCCAGAGTATCTTTTAATAAAAAAAGGAAAGCAGACCTCAAAAAAAAAAAAATGTGTAAAAAACAGTGATAGAGTGGGAGATGCAGTCGCTGATAAAAAGTCAAGAACAAAAAATAAGATCTAGATAATCTAGCAAATAGATTAACAATAATAATAATAAGAATGAGGAAAATAATAAATAGCAGGTACCTTAGGTCTGTAGAACCATTTTCTGATGGACTCCATTACCGTAGGTGCAAGTACACAATTTAAATAAAATAAAATGTATGTGTACAATAATAATGATGATAATGATGTTGAGAGTTGAGATCTCGAGCCAGCAGATCACTACGACTTTCGCGCACCTTGTACTTGCGTCATAGCGACGCCCAATCCATACAAAGATGAACACTATTTCCACTAAAATACAATGTTTGTTTATTTAGAATAAATAAACGCACTTATTGTTAGCTGCTGGTGACTTGTACTTACTCCATTGTTTTTTAAAATCCGTCTGTGGCTCTGGCAACTGGTTATAACTTGGCTCCTAAGAAGTATAGTAACCACTGTAGTATGTAGAATGTAGTATGTTGTGTTGTGTAGTATTTATTTAATACGTATAAAATGTACGGTTTATTTTTTTACGCTGCGGGCTGCTGGTTCTACTCCAGTCGCAAGTCTAGTGTGTACTTTATTAAACTTCCGACAGACGTCGCACATCTGCCCGTCGTTCTTTTAAGCTTTAAACGCCGTTTAGCTCCGGCCCGAGATTTACGCCACTGCGCAGGCGTTTTGAATCCGCGCATGCGCGGTTACGTTTTGCAAACAAAGAAAATGTTTTATTGTCAACTGTTTGTTGTTCGGATTAGATATTTTATTTATTTATATGAAGGGAAACACTTACAGGCTAGCTCAAAAATTTTTTATTACAATAAAAATTATTGCTTGACTTAATTAAGTATTAATTGTAGTCACGTCTTATGACATGTTTTTATTTAGTGCTCACATCGTTCAACGACATCTTCACTTCAATTTTAATGGGTAAACAATCATCTCGGTAAGTTAGAAATTACTAGTTTAAAAATGTTTGATAAAGAAGAAATTTTAATGAAAGTTAAGTTAGCCGACAGCGAAAAATTTTTATTTTTTTTTTATTAATTGAATTAACAATAAAAAAATATTTTTAAAAAATTGCATGTATAGTTTTTCAAATTTTTTACATGTGCAATTTTTTCATTTAATTTTTTTTACTAATTTTATTAATAAAAAAAATTTATTAATAGAAAAAAGTTTTTTTTCAAATAAAAAATTGTGCTAGTTACAAACATTAATTATTTTTTTATTAATTAAATTTATTATACTGTAGTTAGCTGTCACTTGACCAATTTTTACTTTTATTTAACAATTAAATTATTGTTAAAAAATTGGATTTTTAATTTTTTTAAATTTCTACATGTCAATTTATTTTGCTAATTTTTTTTTTCCATAATTAATTTGTTAAAAAAAATTCTAAAAATTATTAAATCTCTGCTCAATAAATTTTCATTAATAATTTTTAATAATTTTCATGAAAATTAATTTAGCAGATATTTAATAAATTTTAAGAATTTTTCTAATAAATAAATTACTGGATAAAAAAAATTAACATTTAGAAAATTTAATAAATTAAAAATGCAATTTTTTTGTTAAATAAAATAAAAAAATGATTTAAAGATTATTATAAATTATTAAGATATTTATTCATTTAACGTTCAAACGGCAAATTAAAATTAAAATTATGAATTTTAATATATGTATAGGAAAGAAAGAGGGTACATTAATCAATGTGCTTTAAATTATGAAAACAAATATTTTTATAGAAGCTTTTATTAGTCTTCGGGGTATTACCTTATACAATTTCATGGCTTATTCAATCTAAATCTTATTAATACTATTGCATACTTATATAATTATCAATAATATTGAATTTTATATAAGTATAATATTATATACTTAATAATAATATTAGTCTTAATATTTAATCGTTTTTATATAAAGATAAGCATTAATGCCTGATAAAAAATTAGTCTCATTTTGAACTGATAGATTCTCACAGAAATCTATATTGAATTTTTTTCATTTCGTTTCACCCTAAAGCGTTTGATTAATGAAAAAAAAATTTTAATCACGATTATTATAAAAATTAATAATTTTTAAAATTAATTATCTTACTTCGGATAAATTCGATTAATATAAAATTAATCCGAAAAATTTTCAATTGTTCTATTACTTCTACTCTCTAAACTTTTTTTGTACTTACGGTCTCTAAAATTTAAAATTTATTTAACTATAAAATCAAATTAAAATTAATTATTTTTCCTTACATAAATTCAGTTAATGTAAAATTAATAAAAAAATTGTTTCTAAATTATTTTATCACTTCTGCTTTCTAAACTTTGCTTTTTCTTCCTCTTTGAGACTTAAAACTCATTTAAGTAGAAAATCGAACACGCTTCGCGCACTTCTGTCCAAATATTTACTATCGACAATTTAATTAATCAATATTGTTACTAATTTTACTCATTAATATTTAACCGTTGCTAAAGTGATCATCATAGTAACAAAAAATGACAATAATGAAAACGTCACACAACTTTTTAATAAAAGGAACTTCAAATTTATTTAACTCGAAAATCGAATTAAAATGAACTATTCTTCCTTTCATAAATTCGGTTAATATAAAATCAATAAAAAAAGTGCTTTACAATTATTCTTTTACTTCTACTTTATAAATTTTTTTTTACTTCCACTTGGAGGTTAAAAATTTATTTAAGTAGAAAATTGAACGCGCTTTGCGCGCTTCTGTCCATAATTTTATTGTCGATAGTTTAATTAATAAATATTTTTATTAATTTTACTCATTAATATTTAACTGTTGTTAAAGTGATCACCATTGCAACAAAAAGTCACAATAATTAAAGCGTCATATGAACTTTTTAAAAAAGATTGCTTTTTAGTATACTAAGACCCTGTTGTTACCGAAATCAACAATTATAATTTTGCCATCGGGAGATATTGCGATACCAGCCGGGCGATCCATTTGATTTACACCATTTTGATCTACATCATTTTGACCTACACCATTTTGACGTACACCATTTTGATATACACCATTTTGATATAAACCATTTTGACGTAGACCATTTTGACGTACACCATTTTGACCTACACCATTTTGACCTACATCATTTCCCTGATTTCCAAATACAAATTGAAGATTACCATCTGGACCTAACACTTGTATTCTATTATTACGCGAATCAGCAACAACTACGTTGCCAGCATCATCAACTTTCATACCTTGTATTCTTAAAAATGGAACCTGTCTCCTTGCGGGACCAAATATTCTAGGGTTTCGAAGTTTATCATCGAGAACAATTATATGGTGATTATTAAAATCTGATACAAGAATCTCGCCATTAGGAGCAAAACTAACGCTTCTTGGTAAATCCAACAATCTCCACATGTGCTGGGCTGTTTCATAACCGAATTTACGGAGAAACTCACCTTCTGCGGTAAATAATTGAACACGATGGTTCCGTGTATCGGACACAAGTATTTCACAACGTGAATTAACTGCTACGTCCCATGGATAGTTGAATTGACCATTCATCATTCCTTTTTCACCGAATGCCAATAAATAGTCACCATACTTAGTTACAATCTGAAAGAAAAAAAAATCAAAAAATCTTACAATTACATTCATTAGATAAGATAAAAACGTTCAGAAAATCCAAAAAAAGAGCGCAACTTGTACTGTGCAATTTTCTTATTTATACTAACATCATATAAAGGAAAGATTTGATTATTTATTTGTTTGCATTTAATAGGTTCCAAAACTACTGAAGCGATTCAAAAAATTTTTTTCCTTTTGAGAAGCTACACTATCCTCGGATGACATAGGCTGTATTATATTATAATTAATTTTGAAATTTTTGTTCAATAAATGTGTTACTTACTTGAATCCGATGATTGTCCTTGTCTACAACAATAACACGGTTGCGGTTATCAACAACAATACCTGCGGGCCGGTCAAATTGTCCTGGACTACTTCCACGGGTTCCAAAATTCCTAATAAAGTTGCCATTTTTATCGTATATTTTAATTTCGTTATTCGATCTATCAGCAACAATAATATTTCCATCTTTGTCACAAGCAACGCCCCAAGGGCGGCAAAAACTGTTTCCATCATCTTCATCACCAATAATTAATACCGGCGCAGGCGACGGTGATTGATCAATTTTTACAATCTTGCTTGACAAAACAATTCCTTGAGGTGCCAGAGACCCAGTGTAATATTGAAGCGCAATTCTAAGCGGATTTGGTCGTGTTAACTGAATTTGATATTGATAGTTTTGCAGTTGTTGCTGAGGCGGCTGCCGGTAGAGTTGTAGTTGTTGTTGTTGCTGCGGCTGCTGAAAGAGTTGTAGTTGTTGTTGATGTTGCTGGCGGTAGTATTGTTGTTGTTGGCGTTCTTGTTGTTGTTGGCGTTCTTGTTGTAGTTGTTGCTGTTGGTAAATGAATAGTTGTTGTAGCTCTCGTTGATAGTAGTTATATTTATATTCCAGTTGACATGCTTCATCTAAATAAGATGAATTACTACGATTAACTCTCAGAGCTCTTCCTCCACCAATTGCTCCATTTTCATAAATTGAACCATCAACGTTTTCAATCGATCGAAAAGTTGATAAGCAAAGTTGTTCAAATCGTGTATGGGCGAGATATTCGTCTTTGATTCTTGATATCTGTTAGAAACAAAAAAAAATACAAAGTTGTAAATCAATCGCTATAAATAAAACTTTTTAGTTAAAAATAAAATTTAAGAATGGCGTATGCATTAAAAGTAGCTCTTAATAATTTTTATCGATTTTTTTCTAATAGGTACATTATAAATAATGAAGATAAAAAAGAAAATATTTTGATAAATCGACTTTTGAAAAAGTTATAGATATTGAAAAATCAAAAAAGCTGTGTTTTTTTTTTTTTTTTTTAAGGAGATCCAAATACTTTTCTACACAGTAAAAAATGTCTATAAAAAATAATCCGTAGAAATACTGTTGTTATGCATCTTAAAATTAATTGTTAAATTAATTAATAACATTTTTGAAGAAATTTCCGAAAAATTAACTCATTTAATAATTATTAACTTAAATAATTATTAAATTTATTACAATGCAAGGCTTACAATCCAAATACAAGGCTTTAAAAAACGGAAGTTCTTTGTGATTTTTCATAAAAAAATATAAAATATCTCCGTAATACGTTCGGAAAACTACTTTTTTTTTTAAATCATTAATTACATTAAATTCTTAACCAAATACACAGCTGGTGGAATCTCTATTTACCTATATGTAAAAATTACTATTTTCAAACCTAATTATTTCATTAAATATCCCGGAAATCTACTGTTTTTCAATTTTTTTTATTATTAGGCTACGAAAATTAAATTTACAAATTTTCAGGAAGTTTTAAAAATATTACTACTTCGCGTGGATCTCCTTAAATGATTAAAAAAATTTTTAAATTTCATGAGAAATACTTATTTTTAATAGAGTAGGAAAAGATTAAAAGAATTTTCTGCCATATTGAAAAGAGTTAAAGATATAAATATTGATTTGAAGAGAAATAATATTTTCAAAAAAATTTTACCTCATTATAAGCGTTTTCATTAACAGCAATAAGATTTTCTGGATTTCTACTGATTTGAAGATTACCCTTAGAATCATATATTTTCTGAGATACCTCAGATAACTGGCTTATAGCCCTTCTCAAAACTGCTTCTTGATATTTACTTAATAGTTGCTTCATAGCTTTCATTTCGTCACGGTTCGCCTTAAGATGATTTCCGTGTTCTATCATAGTACAAAGCAATCGCTTAAGATTTGGAAGATTATTTTCACCGGGATTATATGCCTGGTAACCACTTTGGTAACCATTGGCGGATTTCTAAAATTTAAATATTAATATTAATATTGGAGCGTAAAATAATGAAAAAAAAAATTTTTTTTCTTTATTAAAGAAAATTACTTACCAGATTTTTTATCATATTTTCTTGAATTGAAATATAGCCTTCAATCTCATCTAAAATTCGCCCGCTCTGCTTTTCAGCAGCTTTAGATGCTGCGGCTAATTCCGATGTCAAGTGGTGACTATGATGATTATTAATCTGACACATGTTACATACAGTGGCTCGGCAAGTACGACAATACATTAGGGCATCACTTGGATGTATAACACAAATTGATTGTAAAAATGAATTTCGAGAACGTTGTAAAGCTCTAGATGATAATAGGCCATGATGATTATAAAGTTGATGATGATGATGATGACCACGAGTCGTGTTTGAAAAAGCCATTTCTGGTGAACTTCTTGGTGAAATCGATGGCGAATCTTGTGGCGAATAAGACCTGGGTGATAAATAAGCAGGACCCTGTGAAATTAAATATTAAGATTTAACAAACTTAATGATATTTTTTGTTAAATCAAGTTAATAATGCTTTTATTTATTCCATACCTTATCAGTAGATTTATAACTTCCACCCACAAACGGAGATATGTCCACATTTGGAGTTTGAATTTTAAGATCATCATTTCCCGCTTTAGATGTTGAAGGGAAATTAAAAGGACCCTGGTTATTTTGTCCGTACATGATGACAGTTTTTGTAGCCACTCAAAGAAAAGAGTTTCTACTAAGGATGTCCAAATTCGATTTTCTTCAACATAAAAATATTCAATTGTCAACATATAATTCCAAATATTAAATATCATCTATATTATTGAGAGAATAAAAAAAAAATATTGTTTCCAAGATAGTCATATGATAAAATCGGTTTTTTTTAGTGTCATTGCAAAGGTTTTGACTTTAATTTGTGCCTTTTCAATGTTTCATTTCATTCTCACAAATAGTCAATTTATTATGATGAATATTCAGGCTACATTTAAAAATGCTCTATCTCTACTCTCTTAAAAGAAATCAGTGGAATTTCACTGGTTCACCAGTGGAAGTTCACTGATTCCAACCAGTGAATGCAATGTCACTGGCAAATCAGTGGATTTCACTGATTCAACCAGTGGAGATACTAGCGCGCATGCGCGCAGATAGTTTGTTCACTGATTCACCAGTGAAATTGCATCACTGGTTGGAATCAGTGAACGTCCACTGGTGAACCAGTGAAATTCCACTGATTTCTTTTAAGAGAGTA